TAAAAACTTAGGTTTAATATTGTAAGTATTATATAAAAATTAATATAATAATATAATTTTTAAAGTTGTTAATATTTATTATTGTTAAGCTAAACATGTATAATAATATCGATATAATAAATTAAAAATGTTATTCATTGTCCAAAAACAATTTATTTCATACTCCTCAGTACAGTTGTAATGCATTCTACGATATATAAAATAAATTATAAGCGTATACAACAAAACACAAGCACGATTCCTCATATTTTGAGTAAATTTAGTTTACAAATTGCTCTAGATAATTTCACTGCGAATGTAAATATCTGAGGCCCTCTAAATATTAAAATATATTAAAAAAATCTCAAACGAGTATACCATTTAACTTTGCGATCGGTTACATCCGAACTTATACCTTCCTGTTTAATATAAAGTTTTGCCAACACCGGCAGGTATTTAGCCGGCTTTGGTCCTTACAAATTGAAAAGTATAAAATGTTCGGTTACATCCGAGCTTAGCCCTTCCATACTTGTTTAAATACATATATAATCAAATATTGTCTTAACCTAATATTTGCAATAAATGGTATTGGGTGTATGCATTAATTCGTGCGGTTTTCTAAAAGAGGGCTCTACTAGTATTATTTCGCGTCGTGTTCATCTGTGGCTATATTCATTTCAAAGGTACTGTCATTTCGCGTCGTTTTCAGTTGATGCCATCAGTTTTAGCGTGAAGAATTATTTGTTTCATTCATTTGAAAATGTCGAAATTTGTACCAGATATAGTGGTTTTGCGGGGAGTTCTTCTTCATTACTTTAACATGAACAAAAGTGCTACCGAAAGCGGGGAGTTCTTCTTCATTACTTTAACATGAACAAAAATGCTACCGAAAGCCATCGTATTTTATTGGACGTTTATGGTGACCATGCTTTAGCCGAACGAACGTGCCAAAAATGGTTTGCACGATTTAAAAGTGGCAATTTCGACTTAGACGGCGGAGAATGACCCGGACAGCCAAAAAAACTTCAAGACGAAGAATTGGAGACATTGTTCGACGCAGATGTATGCCAGACGCAAGAAGAACTTGCAAAAGTATTAAAAGTAGTCAAGCAACCGTTTCCTGACGATTAAAATCATTAGGATTCATCCATAAGCTTGGAAATTGGGTGCCTTATGAATTAAAGCCAAGAGACGTCGAACGTCGATTCTGCATGTCGGAAATGTTGCTTCAACGCTACCAAAAGATGTCATTTTTGAATCGGATTGTCAATGGCGATGAAAAATGGATTCATTTTGATAACCCAAAGCGCAAGAGATCGTAAGTGAAGCTCGGCCAATCATCGACATCCACGGCAAAGCCGAATATCCATGGTGCCAAGGTTATGCTATATATTATATTTGGTGGGACCACAAGGGTGTGCTCTATTATGAGCTATTGAAATCGGGTCAGACGATCAATAGGGACCTCTATCGAAAACAATTGATTCGTTTGAAAAAGGCCATCGCGGAAAAACGATCAGAATATGCAAGGCCAGTTAAAAACTATTTGGAAAACTGGGTGGGAAGTTCTACCTCACCCGCCTTATAGCCCAGACATATGGGCAAACATCGTAGCTTCCGATGGGCAATATTTTGAACATTAAATGTATAACAATCTTTTCACAATAAAGTCTTAATTTTCGAAAAAAAAAGCCGCACGAATTAATATATACACCTAAAATATATCAAAAATATATATGTGTAACAGTTCACAGGATGTACCTACATGTACATATGTATGTACAGAGGTACGAATAAAACAAACGTTTCATGAAATTACTAAAATGATAATATTAAAACCAAAGCACAAATAAACATGACGAACAAAACGCAAACTGTGAAAACACCAAGAGAAAATTTACATGTAAGACGTACATACATACGCACACATATAAGTAACACATGTTCGCAGTGCGAAAAGAACTAGTCACAGCAAGCGATGCAACTATTTAGAAAATATAGAAAACCTTTTCGTGGTAGCGGCCATCTTGGATTTTCAGCGGTAGCAACGCAGTGCTGTATATTTTGATGTAGTAAATTATAAGCAAATTTTATTTATTAAATAACATAAACTATAAATATTGTTGCTTAATTTTATGGGAAATTTTTTATTTATGGTATACTTTATTAATAGAGATTGAAACGTCATAGTGTGTCATATTTCGTCAATAAAAATTTGAATTACTGATATCAGATCTGATATTCTGTATCATGATCAGATATTCTGTGAGTAGTGAGTTCCTATAAATAATATGCAGCCCTGTTAGATTTCTTCGTGGTGAGTTTTGTCCTGGCTACATTTACATTTGACCGACAGAAAATAAACAGTTTTGCTTTCGAAAGTTTTTAAAAAATTATTGCCAATCGTTTTAATTGAAACATTTTTCCAATCCCAAGGTATTTAGGCATTTCAAGCTACGTGAAAACTGATAGAAAAGGTACAATATTTATTTATTTAAATTGCTTATAAATAAAGACTTAATATCAGATTATTTAATTAATTATCACATATCTCCCGTGCCATTAGTTCCGGCTTCAGAATATATTGTATACAAGTATATGTATGTATAAACAACATTGAAGAGTGTCTTTTAATCTATACACATATGTATGTATGAGTGAGACATTTGCATTTGGAATTTTTCGCTTTCTTTATAACTTAAACACAATACGGGCGACGACGAATATTCGTCGTACTCGGCGACGCCGTCGGTGATTAGAACACACCATGACGAATTTTGATATTAAGATTATCTATGTTTGGTTCATTCACGATTTCGTCGAACAATAAATGTTGCATTCTTTTGCAACAATTTTAAAATAAAGTTTTGCCAACAGCTGAAGATATTTCCCCGGCTTTGATTTGATCTTGGCAGGTTGCAAGAGTAGGATATGTTCGGTAACACCCGAACTTGTGCTTCAGTTAGTGACTGTTGTCATTGCTCAATTTGTATACATGATTTTCCAAACATAAAGCTTTTCAATTATAATTTTTCATAATGTAAAAGCACAAAACTAAAATCCAGCTATTAAAAATAGTCTACATTTTTATCAATAGTTGTCTAATAATAATTTAGTTAGTTTAATAATATTTCAAATATATTTAAGTTTATTTTTTAATCACTACAAAATATCGAAACTGGCATCCCTGCGTTGTAAGAGAACAATCAGCTGATTCGTTTCAACCGGAATAATCCAATTTTCGTTACTTGTTTATTTACATTACGCTCTCATAAGATAGGTCGTATTAGCTGACACGGTCTACGGTTGAAGCATTAGCCCTTTCTTACTTGTTGTACTATGATATTACTACCACATGTCTGTCATAGGCATAACATTTATTTATTTTAGGTTTAAAGTGTCTGACTAATAATTTTAATTTTTGGCAAAATTTATTGTATTTCTGATGGCTACACGCTCTTGATTGACTGCATTTAAAAATGAATTGAGCGATTATACGGGCTTTGAATTCTATTAGATCATCTGGTATGCCTGTGATGAATTAATTTAAGAAAAAAAAAGAAATTTAAAAGCCCTACTCCTTCTTAATGCTGTCTTTATGTATCACCTTTCCCTTGTTTGTTAGGATCGTGTCCCCACGATTTCCTGCAACTTTATGAGTATTGTATTGTGTAGCTTGTTTGTTACGCCTAGGTATCTATTTTCATGTAGACATTGCTTTGTGGTCGATTTCATAGGCCAAAAATAAAAAACAAAATGTCCGAATTTACCACTGTAAATGTCAAAAATATTTCTAAATAATTTAAAAATCACCTAGGTTAGGTTAGGTTAGGAGGTCGATCCCAAGAAGGATCCCACTCGGACAGCTTAAGACGCTGGTCCGTTGTGATACCTACAAAACTTCTATAATCTGGATCAAAAGACCCTTACAAGTCGACGAAACGCTTTGTGCTTACAACGGACTTGTTAAGACGGCCAATATCCATTTCGGCTAAGTATTCAAGTCCGCCAAAAGTGTGATTGTCGAGATATTTTAATTTAAGCCGAGCGAAAGCCTGACGTTGGAGGAGAAAGTGCCGGGATGATTCCACCTCGCCCTCCTCCATGCAACTTTGGCAACTAGCATCGGGTACTCTAAGCCGTACCGCATGAGTGCCCATTGGACAGTGTCCAGTGAGAACTCCTACCATAGCGGCGAGATGCACTTTGCTCAGGGCGCGAGGTCCATTGATCCAAACCTAGAACGCAAGACGTTAACGGAGATCCAACTCGCCCCTATTCCGATGTGAGCGGGGCAAAGGTGCCCCCCCTGGCTAGCTCATCGGCTTTGCAGTTTCCAGCGATTCCGCTGTGACCAGGCACCCAAACGAGCCTGATGTTGAAATAGCCAGACCAACTATCGGAGTGGATGCTTACTTCTACAAACTAGGTTGCACTACGCAGCACTACTTCAACCGCCACCTTGATAGCAGCCACTTCCGCCTGAAAACACTACAGTGGTCCGGTAGCCTGAAGCTAAAACTGACGGAGAGCACCTTGCAGAAAACCCCCCTCCAACCGTCCCTCCTAGCCTCGATCCATCCGTGAAAAAGCTCACCGCGCCTCTTCTCCAGCGGCTTCTTCCCATCCACATGTCCCTCGTTGGAATATGAGCGGAGAAGGAGCCGCCGGACCTCTTCATAAGCCCAGCTTCCCTGAGCCTTAGAGCACACTTCACAGCAATGCACTTACCGGCAATGTCCACAGGTGCTATCTTTAAAATAGCATTAAGAGCTATTGTAGGTGTGGTCCGCAGTGCATCGGAGATTCCGATGAGCGCCACCCTTTGGACCCTTTCAAGCTTTTTAGCCAGTGTGGACCTTTCTCGCGCGCTCCACCAGACGAACACACCATAGAATATTATTGGCTTAACTACGGTTTCGTAGAGCCAGAACACTACCTTAGGTGAGAGTCCCCACCTTTTCCCTATAGCCCCTTTGCAGCAGTATAAGGCGAAAAGAGAGAAGATTGGCGAATGTAGATAAGAGTGGTGCGATTGATGACATATACGGCAACGAGATTTCGATGGGCTTTTAGATACTGTATGTCCTTTGCGTAGGCAATTGATGTAAGCACTTGTTTGCTTCACCCAATCAAAACGCATTGTAACTGATAACTGTAGAAATGAAGGACAATTGTTTAGACTATGTTCTGCGTTATTGCAATGTATGCAATTTGACATCGCGTTAATGAATGAATTTGCATTTTACTTACCGAGTATCTTACAATCTCGCTGTGTTACCTTTGAGTTTTACCCTTCTTGAAGGCTTTCAAAAAATATTACTGCATTAAGCAATAAATCTTAATGTTGCGGTGTGTAGAAGTAAGGCTCCGCAAGCTGAAGGTTTGAAGGAATATCCCATTTAGAAGTGTTAATAAAACTACTTGGTATTTGTGTCGTGATCTGTTTAGTTATATCAAATTGCGATATACAAGTAAAATCTCTGATTCGAGTTGATTTTCGC